CACTTCCCTCTTTCCCAAGGCTCCCTTACCTGTCCTGACAGGACTTGTACCTTCTCAGAGAAGCTCAGTGTTGAAACTAAGGCTCTTGGTCTATAGAACTGTTCTCTTTGAGAACGTTTTTTTGTTTTGCTTGTTTGTTGGTTGGTTGGTTGGTTTTTGTTTTTTGAGACAGGGTCTCACTGTAGTTGAAACTGACCTGGAACTCATTATGTAGCCCAGGCTGGTCTCGAACTCACAGAGACACTCCTGCCTCAGCCTCCCGAGTGCTGGGATTACAGGTGTGCACCACCACGCCCGGCTGTTTTTTTGTTTTGTATGGGGGGTGAGGGTTGAACTCGGGACCTTGTGCTTTCCAGGCCAAGGGCGGCACCACTGAGCTAAATCCCTGGCCCTAGTAATTTAGGGGGAAGAGATGTAACTTCCAAGCCTGTTTATCTGAAACCAAGTTCATGTTCTCTAAAATCGAAGAATTAATTTCAGAAACAACAGAGGTTAAGAGTAGGAAAAATTTATTGAGGGAAAGAAAGCTTCTCTTTCCCCCCCTGTAGCGCTGCTGGGCCTGCAGGTCTGTGAGGAGCCGCATAAGCAGGTCTTTATTCCACAGGATGGGGTTTGTTAAAGTTGTCAAGAATAAGGCCTACTTTAAGAGATACCAAGTGAAGTTTAGAAGAAGACGAGAGGCCAAAACTGATTACTATGCTCGGAAACACTTGGTGATCCAAGACAAAAATAAGTACAACAACACACCTAAATACAGGATGATAGCTCATGTAACTAACAGAGGTATCATCTGTCAGACTGCTTATGCTCATATTGAAGGGGCTATGATACTCTGCGCAGCATATGCTCATGAACTACCACAACACGGTGTGAAAGTTGGCCTAACAAATTATGCTGCAGCATACTGTACTGGCCTGCTGCTGGCTCAAAGCCTTCTTAATAGGTTTGGCATGGATAAGGTCTATGAAGGCCAGGTGGAGGTGACTGGAGATGAATACAACGTGGAAAGCATGGATGGTCAACCTGGTCCCTTCACCTGCTATTTGGATGCAGGCCTTCCCAGAACTACAACTGGCAGCAAGGTTTTTAGAGCTCTGAAGGGTGCTGTGGATGGAGGCCTGTCTAACCCTCACAGTACCAAACGATTCCCTGGTTACGATGCTGAAAGCAAGGAGTTCAATGCAGAAGTACATCGGAAGCACATCATGGGTCAGAACGTTGCTGATTATATGCGTTATCTAATGGAAGAAGATGAAGGTGCTTACAAGAAACAGTTCTCTCAGTACATAAAGAACAATGTAACTCCAGACATGGAGATGTATAAGAAAGCACATACGGCTATACGAGAGAATCCCGTCTGTGAAAAGAAGCCAGAGAGAGAAATTAAAAAGAAGAGGTGTAGGACCGGGATTTAGCTCGTTGGTTCTGCTGCCTGCCTTGGAAGTGCAAGGACCAGAGTTCTATTCCAGGTACCGCCCCCGCCAAAAAAAAAAAAAAAAAGAAGAAGAGGTGGAGCCGTCCCAAAATGTCCTTTGCCCAGAAGAAAGATAGGGTAGCTCAAAAGAAGGCAAGTTTCCTCAGAGCTCAGGAGCGGGCTGCTGAGAGTTAAATCAAAGTTTCTATGAAGAGTTTTCAGATGACAACCAATAAACTTATTCATCAAAAAAAAAGAAAAGAAAGAAAGCTTCTGTCTAAGAGAGACAAAGGAGAACTGGAATGGGGTGGCCCACTCACCCCACTTTTCAAAGATGTTTTATACAGCAAAGCCATGTGGTGAGGTGGGCACAGAGTGGGACAAAACTATAAGACCCAGTGAAAAATTACAAGGCGGGCATGAGGTGGGGCAAAACCATGAACCAGTAAGATCCCAAGTACAGTCACCCAGATAATACTGATTAAATGGGGGTCAAATGGGGGAGCAAGTCAAGTAGCAAGTGTACAAGGATTTTCGTAAGGATGGGGGTCAGGGACATTTCCTGGAAAGGCTGGGCTAAGACCTTGGCCCCCCACCAAATGATACCTATTTGGAATAACAATCACTGCTATTTATCCCCCGGGAAGCACAAAGGTATAGTAGTTTCTTTCCTTTTCCAATTGTGGCCTTCAGTGAAGTGTCTTGATTCAGTGAATGTTGTCCTGTTGGCTCCTTGCTGTGTTGGCGCCTTGAGAGTGGCCCTCTAACTGCCTACAAGACATCTAATTAACTTACCTATTTGTAATACTAGAATGTTTGTTCTTGTTTGCTTAAAAATTTGAAGGCTTCCTACAGACTGAATGTTTCTATGTAAAATTCTTTCTTTGGGGAACTCCAAGCTCTAGCCACCCTCCCGCTGACATGGTGGAAGGAAAGAAAGAAAGAAAGAAAGATAGAAAGAAAGAAAGAAAGAAAAAGAAAGAAAGAAAGAAAGAAAGAAAGAAAGAAAGAAAGAAAGAAAGAAAGAAAGAAAGAAAGAAAGAAAGAAAGAAAGAAGGGAAGAAAGAAAGAAAGAAATGAGGCTAGATATGCTGGCACGCACCTGCAGCGCCAGCTCTCTGGGAGCTGAGGCAGGAGGATCACAAATTCAAGCCTAGCCTGAGTATTTAGGGACTTAAGACTGTCTCAAAATAAAAATAAAAAAGGGCCGAGTATGTAGCTCAGTGTGAAGGCCCTGGGTTCAATCCTCAGTTCTCAGAGAGGGAAAGAACAAGGGGTGGAGAAAGAAAGGAAGGGAGGGAGGGAGGGAGAGGGAGAAAGGGAGAGAGGGAAATCAGGCAGCGACCTAAGGAACCAGGGCTGACTTTAATCCTTAACTAGGGCCAACTACTTTGGGTTTTTGCAGACGACAAAGCCCAGCCTAAGGGTTGGGGGTCTTGGGAAAAGCCGAAAACTAGACAGAGAGCAACCGGCATGCAGGGCTCAGAAGAGGCCCCTCCCCTCCGTGACCACGGAGCAGGAGGCCACTGCTAGGGAGCTGGTCTCCCTGGGCACGGTGGTATAGGCCTGAAATCCCAGCACAGCGGAGGCTGAAGCAGGAGGATCATGGGTCTGCAGCCTGCACTCTAGTGAAACCTCTCTGGGGGAGGCAGGAAAGAGCTGGTTTTTAGGAAGGCCGAGAGGGGCTAGGCCACATCCCTTTGCTTTGTTTCTTCGACCTTCCAGCCTAGAACTAGAGTGGACATGTCTGGACAGACAGGTCATTTCTGACTGAGTAGGAAGCACTAAGGGTGTCATTCCAAAGCTGGGCAGCAAAGTTTCCACCCTTTGTTCTTTTGGGTGCAAGTGTGGATAGATGCCTCCACCTCCCCACCGCTTCCAGTCCACTCACCCAGAGTGAGCTGAACCAAACCACCGTTCTTACAAGAGCGTTTACACCTATGGGGGTGGGCTCTGGGAGGGACAAGGACACTCAGTGCGAGCTGGGACACCCTGACACCAGCAGCTTAGGTGGGGAGCAGCCCCAGCGCTCAGCAGATGGACTGATGTTGCAGGGAGGGAGCCCCTGGGCTTCGGCCAGCTCTGCAGTGCTGCTGTCTATGTGAAGGAACCCACAAGCACTGGCTCCTTTTTGCCCGACGTGAAATGAAGGTGTTCACCATACTTATTAGACTTTGACCTCACTTGTACATCAGGAAAGGACGGATGTAATAGTATTATCTCCTTAGATCTAAACGAGTGTGCATGAATTATGTTTATATACATTTCTGCTTCTTTTTTGAGCAAGGGATTAAACCTAGGGCCTTTGCATTGAACTACATCTCCAGTTTCCCTTTTATTTTTTAATTTTAAGACAGGATCTCACTAAGTTGCAAAGTTGCCCAGGCTGGGCTCAAACGTGTGACCCACCTGTCTCAGCCTCCCAGTGTGCTGGGATTACAGGTGTGCACCAGGGTGCTGTACTACCTCTCTGGAGTTCAGAGAATGTCTTCTCTTTTCTACCTAGGCAAGAAATAAACATCACTAACCACGGAGCATCTAAACCCACCTTTCACAAACTACTGATTTACTGGGAGATCTGCAGACTTATTCAGAATTAGTGGATTGATTGAGCTAATGAAGACTCTTTGAGCTTTTATCATTTTTATGCTACAGCTGATAGCAAAATAGGTAGAGTCAATGCAGCAATGCATTTGTGTTTTACTGCCTGGAAACAGTAAGTTAACCACCTACCTCCTGCAAGGTGGCTGGCTTTGGACAGCCCATTCCGCCTGGATTTGTTTTTCCACTGTGAACTATGAGGTGTTATGCCATAGCTTGTGTTTTTTTTTTTCATAGCTTGTATTTTTCTTTAGCAATACATGCCTGGCACTTTGCTGGATTTTTACATGCATTGTCTTGTGCAGTGCTCACAATAGCCCAGTTTTTAAATGAGAAAACAGCCTCAGAGGAGGAGCATTTGCTGACAGATGTCGGTGCCGTCCTATTTCTGACTCTGTGTCCTTAGGAATTCCTACTATTACAAGTGAAATCTTTCCCGCTGCCATAAAATATGAACTCTGAAACTGGGCATGTTGGTGCATGCCTATAACCCCAGCACTCAGGAGGCTGAAGCCAGGAAGATCACAAGTTCAAGCACAGCCTGGGCAATTTAGCGATACCCTGTTTCAAAATAATAAAAAGGGCTGGGGATGTAGCTCAGTGTGAAATTCCCAGTACAGCAAAAAACAAAAAACAACCCCTCAGCATCCTTCTCTTGTCTAACCAGATTTCTTGGAGTGGATGTAGGGTCCTGAGATAGCCTTAAATCAAGGGGAAACAGAAGGACAAACCCAAGCAGCCTGTTGCCACCCCCTGCTGAGACTGGCACTTCCTCTCCTGTTCTCCCACAGCCTCCCTCCCACACTCCGCCCAGGGCTGCCCTAAGCCTGGTGCTGGAAGGCTGCATGAGAAATTGTTCTCTGACAACACTCTATGCTGCCTCCCCTGCCCCAGACCCTCACCTCCATCGGAGCACCCTGCAACTTTCAGAATGCGGTCCCCCGACAACCCCAAGATAGTGATCACCAGAACTGTTTGTAAAAATCTGTTTAATAAATATACATCTCAGAAATACCAAAATAATTACCAGCAAAATACACTATCTACACCATTTACAGAAGAACAACACAAACCTTGACAGGTAGTGACTTTCTACCCCACACCATTGCACACCTGGCTGTCACACGTCACGGGACACAACCAGGTCGGCCACTAACTCCGGCCACTAACTCCGTGATGATGCAATCGAAAGCACAATAAATAAATGTGGTCCTTTCATCAAGTTTTGGATCATTTTCTCCCTAAACCCCACCAAGCTGCAGTTAAAAGGGGTTGGCTTTGAATTCCAATGACCTTCCTTGTTCGCCCAAGCCAAGTTCACAAAGATTACAGAATAAGGGCAGATCTGCCGTGGTACTGTCTGGGGCCAGGACCTGTGCTGTGCGGTGGTAAGAATATCCTTTGAAGTTTTTCTCTTTTTTCTTCTTTTTTTTAGAAAAATAAAACTCTCTTTTTGTACAAATATACAAGTCCATGTTCTTCTTGATACCTTCTGCTCATAAGGTCAAGCGCTGACCTCCAAACACACAATCATCATACGGCAGCTAAAAACAGAAGGAAAAAAAAAGCCACGTTAAACTTGCAGAACTTTTCCAAGGAACTTGGGATAACTAGAGGGCTGCTACTAGCAACACACAACTCAGGTATTCTTGGACTCCTTTCTCCACAACCAAATATAATGAGCCTTACGGGGGGCGGTCCTTTAATACTCCTCTACTTGTGAAGGCTAAACTAGCCAGTCATGGATTACATGCCTGTAATACATTCCGAGGCAGGAGGATCACTGAGTTCAAGCCCAGCCCGGAATCTCAGTGAGTTCACCGTTGGCCTAGACTACAGTGAGACCCTGCTGGGGGTGTATCTCAGTGGGAAACACAAGCCTATCATGCATGAGGGCCTGGGCTCACTCCTGAGTCCCTCCAAAAATGTAAGCTATTAAAACCAGCAAAAGCGTACAATCCTGGGATACTGGTCAGGTACACCGAAGTCTGAGAAATTAAATTATGCTGAAACCCCTATGATCAATAGTTCTAGCCCCCTGGGAGGGTGGCCCTCTCCTCACTTCTGGCAGTGCTGAAGAAGTTAAAGGAGACTCACCTCGTCCTCTGTGAACTCTGACTCTGTGTCATAGCTCTCCTCATCCTCGCTTTCAGGCAGCATCTGAAGGTTTTTGAGGGTCAGCTGGCCCAGCTGCTGCTGGATCCGGGTGCTTGGCCGGCCCCAGGTGAGCTGGTAGGGAGAGTAGCCTTGGTAGGTGACTCTGTTGACATCAGCCCCACACTTCAACAAGAGCGACACTAGGTCAGGATTCTGAAGGTCCACTGCGAGGTGGAGGGCAGTCCGGCCATTGCAGGGTTCCTGAGACCCAAAGAGATTTGAGATGCTTACGGCTGAGTTTGGAATTTGGAATTGCTGCTGGCAACAGGAGTGTGGCAGGGCTGCTGCGGAGGAGCCCGGCCCCTCCATCTGGCACCATGAAGCACTCACCTGGGCATTGACATCAGCGCCCAAGGACACCAACAGCTCCACGATGCCCAGGTAGCTATGGATGGAGGCCAAGTGCAGACATGTGTGGCCTAGAAGAGAAAGGGCAGAAGCGTATAACTACTTGTTCAAGTCTCACACCTGACAGAAGCTTTCTCCTATCCTTTTATGGGGCCAGTCTGTTGAGCTTTAGGAACTTTATAAAATCTTTCTCATGTTGGGATGTACCGTTGTAGTTGGTGGCCTGCAGGATGGAGTGGAGGCGCTGTGTGGTACAGGTCTGTGTTAGCACTCCGACACTGGCCAGGCAGCCCTGCTCACAGGCAAGGTGTAGGGGGGTGTTTCCTCGAAAGTCCCGGAGCTCAGGATCACAGCCAGCTTCCAGAAGTGCCTGAGTAATTTCAGGCTGCTTGGTGATCACAGCCAAGTGCAGTGGAGTCTACAGGCGGAAGAGGAACAGAAAGAGGATAAGCCATGGAGCAGACCCACGATCTAACTTCCCCAACCCAGATAGCTGCTGTGGGCACTGCTCCTCCCAGACAGGTACAGGGGGCCAAATTCCCAGAGACCCCCGGGTGGGTCGTAAAGACCTCACCAAAAGAGTGGAATGTTCTTCACTCCCTAGGATGTTGGCTGATTTGTGCGCGGGGGAAACAGTGACTGACAATTTAGAAAGGATCTGGGGGGCAACTGTGCTACATTCAGCTCCATTTCAGGTCAGAAAGGGCACAAGGCCAGGTGAGCAGCGCACCTGCTGCAGGTTGTTCTGGAAGTTGAGGAAGGCCTGGTCTCCCTTCACCTGGCGGATCACTTCCATGGTCAGCACCTTCTCTTCGTGGATGATGGCCAAGTGCAGGAACCTGAGGGCGAAGAGGGAAACCCCCGGGGGTGGTGAGTACGCTGCGTGGGGCCCGGGCTGCGGGGATTGCGCAAGGCCGGGGTTTCTGGAGGCCGAGGCCGCGGTGTTTTCCGCGCGGTTATTATGAGCTGAGTGTTCCTGGCAGGCGCCCAGGGACTTTCCGGGCCCCACCCCCTGCGCGACGGCGCCAGCCTGGTCCCCTCCCCTCCCCCCGGCCGGAACGCCCTGTACTTCCCCTCCCGGCCGCGCGG